GACAGCATGTCTAGAAGGGGGGGTGATGTCAGGGCACCAGCTCATTGCTTGGTCAAGAGACATGACTAAGCCTTTATGACATGGAAGTAGCTGGTATACCTTGGCATGTGCTGGAACCTGCTGGAAGGATTGGATGGTCAGGTGACCTGCTGTGCATGGCTGTGCATGACCTCATATGACCTCATCCTTGGTCATATGACCTGATCACCTGACTAGGCTGAGTAAGCAAGATGTTCTAGCAGGTTCCACCACAGAGGTATAAATATAAGGCCTACTCTGCCTGGGACTGTCTCTTCAGACTTGGTCTCTTAGGATCATCCACAGGTACCTATACTGTAGATAGGTCTTAGTCATCAGGTCTACTCCACTTCCTTGTTGCCTGCTTAGACTCTTGGCACTCTTAGGTGAGCAGACTTAGTCAGCCTGTGTTGCCCTAACAACTGGTCACTTTTCCCTATCTATGGAGTCCATTCCGCCTCAACCTCATCCTTAACCCCAAGGAATCATTATTGTGCTGGATTGTTACAGGCAGGGATTACTGTACTTGACTTGGGCCATTAGTGTTGACTCCCCCTCCAGTGGACTTACTCCTAACTTCTAATTGGGAGGTGTAGAGTACACTAGATCTTAAGCTTTTGGCTGGGGGATCCTGACATGCATAAGTTCTTATCACCAGAGCTGGTGTTAGGAACCTGGGGGCATTGGAGAGTGCATAAACTGGAGTAGGAGCATGGGTGGGTCTTGGGTAATGAGAATGGACATGGAGCATGTAGGCAAGAGGTTATGCCTTGGCCTGGGGATATGGGTTGTGTTAACTGAGAGTAGTGTGGTTAGAGAGTCGGAGTTGCAAATGACCAGTAACAAATATAGACTCCTTTCCCACACCTGAGCTTCACAACCATGCCTTTATGGGGAATACTAACCCGAGAGCTCAGTAATGACTGTATGGTGATAGGCCTCTGGGCAGCAGAATGTGTAAGATGACTCCCATTTTCCCGGCTTAACGGAGGCAATCCGGGTTCCCCTTGGCAGGCGCCGGCGACTCCCTTTCAGGACTTTCCGCTGTTAGTACGCCCGCGGGGAGGGTGCGCGCTATGTACATGTGTACATGTACCCTCCTCCTCCAAAAGGGCGACGTCACCCCACTTGAAGAGAGCCGACCATGACCCCGCATCCTGTTCTCTCCATCCCCGAGCTCGTGCAGGAGATATTCCAGCACCTGGAATCGGACCATACCGCGCTCGGAAGGCTCGCTAGCGTGTGCAGGGACTTCTGGCAACCGGCGTGCGAGGTACATTGGAGGAAGGTATACGGTGTCGAGAGGTTATTGAAGCTTTTGCCGGAGGAGTATCAGGTGGAACTGAGGGAGTGTTCTGGATGGGTATGTGTTTTTGTTAGGGCTGAGCAGGGGGTCTGACGCTCCGTAGGCATTCAGGATCCCCTCAGAGCAAGATACGGAGCGGGTCAGGCTATATGCTGCGTTCATTCAGGAAGTTGTCATCCACCCTGGTCGACCTCCCTATGCCCGGGGGGACGTGCTCAACCCCCGTCGAACGCTCGAGCGCCGTGGTCTGCCAATGCTCATGCTCCTCCGGCCATTTGGACCTGCATTCCCCAACCTCGTCCGGTTGCACGCGATTTCAGAAACAGATGATTCTCTCTGCACTCTCTCGCGCCTGCTTTCCCCGACGTTGAGGAGTTTGTATATCCATACAATACAGGGCGACAACTTTATGGTCGGGCACTTTTTGCGCGCGATTCCGGTGAACGCACCTAGTCTCCAGACGTTGGAGGTCGAGGCTCTCGGTGCGCTTTCGAAGGAATCAGAAGCGTCTCTCCTCCAAGCCGCGAGGCATGTTTCCAAGCTATCATTACAAGCTGTCAACCCGAGTGATGCGTTCTTCCGCAATTTGGCACAGAATAACAGACTTCGGAGTCTGGTGGTCGAGTTCACTCTGGCTCGGACGTCTCCTATAGAAGTATGGAGACCCGGGACGTTTGACTTGCTCGAGGAGTTTGAAGGCGAGGCGCTAAGTGCTCCGAGGACGTTGCGCTTGCTGAGAGCGATGGACATGCCCCAGCTTCAGAGATTAAAATTGACGATCGGGACTGTCCCTCGGGACGAAGTCGCGCAAGAGGAGGCTCACCACCAACCAGCCGAACCACGGTCTGTGCACCTCATCATGGAGAAAATCGCTTCGTTCGTCCAGCTGCGCACACTGCGTATCGTCCTTCCTAATTTGGACGATCACCGGCTCACCCTGTCCGCTGCGATATTCCTTCCCCTCGCAGCGTGCAAGAGACTGCAACTCTTCCAGCTCATAGACCGGTCAGAAGAAGAAGGATTCGACTCGGTTTTCGTCGCCTGGGACGATCAGCATCTGATGACGCTGCTTGACAGCTGGCCGGAACTGCACACGCTCCACCTGGAATGCTCCAACGCTCAGGCTCCGCGTACTCAACTGACGCCCGGTGTGCTTCTATCGATGGCAGAACGTTGCCCTCAACTGCGTTCCGTGCGCATGCCGATCGACATGACTTCCGTCGGCTCCGAAACATGCACGTATCCTCCTGCCAGCAACAACATGTACCGGTTCACCCTTGAAGCGAGCACAACGATCGCAAACGAGGTAGCCGTCACGGACCTCATACATGACTTATGGCCGCTGGTCAACGTTTCAGCTTGGAAACCTATAGCGGGACCGGTGGCGGATGACGTGACGAGATTTGCAGACCTTTATCGGCGTCTGTATTCGGTTTGATTCCTCTCAGGAGTGGAGTTGATTAGCGACGTAAACGACGGGACGGCACGACTCGATTCTGTAATGAATATAAACGACAAAACCCAAGAGAATTGTACAAAAGCATCCATGTCATGATCGGTATCAGTCCGTATTCTCTATTTGTCACGTGTAATTTGATTATCCCAAGGCAATCAATGAACTAGGCTACTTATATGCATTCATCAACCCATTTCTACAAGACTGATACATTGTGTTGCCCGCATACGTAGTGCTGTGCGCTTCAACCCCTATCAACATCAGAACGGGAGGCATCAGATCATCTATATCCTCGGCAACTTCAGCTCAGCCGGTCCAAAGCTGTGGGGAAGCAGATCCCCCAACGTTGTTTCCAAGATCTCGCCCTTTCCATCTCCGTAATTACCATAGTTTGCCGGAATGAGCAATACAGGCATCTCGAGCGCGCAAAACTCGCGCACGAACTGACGGCAAATACCACATGGAGAGACAGGCGAGGCGACATCGGACGTTACAGCGAGGGCCACAAACTCTCTGATGTTCTCGCTCTGATGCATTTGTCAACAGTGCATAGCTGAAACTAAATCACACTCCGTACAGCTGCTTTGACCATCGCTGTCCGTTCCGCGCAGATCGTACCTCCATACGAGGAATTCTCGATGTTGGCACCTTTGATGATCACTCCACCGGGAGCGAGGAGGGCTGCCCCAACTCGAAAGTTCGAGTAAGGAGAATAGGAACCGGCCTTAGCTGTATTCGGTTTACTTCAATATCGTGAGATCATTTGATGAGGGTTATTGACCTTCTATCGCTGCTGCAATCAGCTTGTTTTTATCCTCCAGAGAAAGACCAGCCATCGTGAATCTGGAAGGAAAGACGATACTTACTGGAACCGAAAGTCCCGTAGAAGAAAGCTTCCGCACGAGAGCGGATTACACAATCAAATCAAAGGCTTCCGTGTCGACCATCGTTGTTTGGATCTGCTCTGCTCGCTCTCTCGCTCTAGATCTTCTGATTAATGTTGCTCAGATATACAAGTCCCTCCATGCTGACGCACAAAGCAAAGCGGTGGACTCAAGGCGACACGCCCGGTACCTATAGATCAGCCGGTGCTTGGACAAACGACGGCGCGTGCACGAGGATTGCGGGACGTATGCTCATCGCTGCCACCGCCCTTCAGCTCGGACACCACGCGCCGTCATGACAGGCGCGTTCACTTCCTGCCCGTGACGACCATTGTATCCCTATCGTCCATCCCTGAAATTTCTTTTCCCGGGCGCTGGGTACCACACGCTTCTCTGTCATAATAGGGATATACCAAGGCTTCGTTACGCACACATGAGCGTGAAAGGCTCATTTCATTCCTATGTCACAAGAATACACACAGCACCCGCTCAGTGATGAGACAAATCCGGGGAAGAAGCAACAATCCGCTCCTTCTGTAGCTCCTCCCAATCACTCCCGCCCAGTTTTCCCGCGCGTTCCACCAACTCTACGTTTCAAGCACACAGGGAAGTAAAACGAGAGGCCCTTCCGCTTCGGGCGGGCTCGGAGGCACTCTCCTCGGCAGAGGGCTGCCGCTTTGTTCGCTGTTTTGGGATGTTATCAAGATGGTGCCAAGCGGAAATTACCTGCCTTTTTGGGAAGTATCTCCGCTGAGGGCCTAAGGGGAACCGTTTTGCTGGTAAGTTCTCCGGACCCGCACGTTGGGTCTGAGCAAGCCTGCGGGTTACGTGCTGTACACATCCTCGATACCTGTGTAAGTGCTGTTCTATCCTTCCTTCCAGCAGGAAGATGTGACATCTCTCTCTCCCTCTCCCTCTGTAGAAATAAACATCCAAGGTGGATATCATGCCAAATAAGGAAAGCTCCATCAATCAATTCAGTACCACCGGCCTTTGGTTGCACAGGCATAGGGTCCGCACTATCAGTTATTACACGTTGCTACGGGCGCGAGACCTCTTGGACGTAGTGACGCGTCTGCCTGGGTCCTGATGTTTTTGCTCGTGCTTGGGTGGATGATGGCCCGTGCGAGGGGTGATGGGATGGACCGCACGGGTCGGATCGTGCTAAGACCGGGTGAGCGCCCCAGGCTTGATGCTCCTGTATCTTCTGGAGTGTACGGCGATACGTGGACAGTATCCAAGACTCGATGACGTACTGTTAAGATCAAGATTGATATAATTTTTCTGTGTACCAAGGAATGCGATGCGCTTACCATGAAATTACGACGCGTCCGGTGTGTTCTATCACGCGCATGGAATTCTCCCCACCTCTTCACCCTCATTTTCTTTATCAAAGGGACCCTTCTTTGTTGCCTTTCGCGCCCGCTTGGCGCTCCGCCCGCATGGTTGGCGAGGCCGGCGGGCGCGCACATTTCCTGGGCAGCGCCCAATCCCGGCGGCGGAACATATCCTTTCTCCAATGGCCGGGTACCATATCTACCACCAGGGTTTGTGGTCTGGCCTGCTTCGGTAGGAGGCGGGTGGCAGGCGAGGGGAGGTATAAAACTTGAGGGGGACGACAGAGGCCCCTTTTCTCTTCTCTCTAGTTTACAGTAATCACTTTTCTCTTACCTCTGCTGATCAGCGCTTTACTCTGCCCCTCGTTGGGCGCCTGCCAAAGTAATATTCTCTATCGCCGAAGAAGTGTGCCGAGTCCGGAGTCAAATTAATTGTGTTTGCCCAGGCTTCCGCAGCTTCCCTTCAACGCGAAAGACGTTCGTCATTGGCCGATTCACTCGCGCCCTCATCAACCGCGACAAGGCCCGACATCGTCTCGAGTATTTTCTACCCAGTCAAATAACCCCCAACCAAAAGAGGGAGTAGTACTACACTGCCCTCCAACAGCCATTCATTTATCACCGCGTGGTGCCTATTCAAACCCCCACAATATCGTCATCTTCTCAGGTCTTCTCCAACATTCGCCCCCACAACTTCGCGGCGTCATCCATTAATACCTGATCTGCTTCTCTGCTGAAATAGAGTAGACAGCCCAACGCCATCCTCATCTCATTCCTCGACGACCAGAATGTACGCACGACGGCTCGCCGCTCTCCTCGGGCTCGCTGCCCTTCCCCTCCTCACTGTAGCCGATATGCGCCATGAATATCTCACAACACGGGATAGGCGTGCACTCGCTTCAGGCATCGTATACGACGGACAGATCGCAAGTGCGTCCTTTACCTTCAACCTTCTCGATCTTGCTTACCCATGTTTCCGTAGGCTCATATGATCACGTCATCATTGGCGGTGGTCTTGCAGGTCTTGTCCTCGCATCCCGTCTATCAGAGGATTCAAATACAACCGTCCTCGTCCTCGAGTCTGGCGACACAGGCGACCTCGTCCGATCACAGATCGACGTCCCCGGGGAGGCATACTACTCCTCCCTCCTCGGTACAACCTACGACTGGCAGTACATGACCGTTCCACAACCGAATGTCGGTAACCGGGCGCTCTCATGGCCCCGTGGTCGTCTCCTCGGCGGTTGCACAGCGGTCAACGGCCTGTACATGGTCCGTCCCTCAGCACTCGAGTTCAACGTCTGGGCGCAATTGCAGTCCGGTGCTGCAGGCGCTGACGACTGGGCTTGGGGTAGCATGTTCGCCGCGATGAAGAAGAGCGAGAACTTCACTGCTCCCAGCGCGGAGGTCCAGCAGGCAGGTGCCATCGAGTACAACGTGCAGTCGCACGGCTCTTCCGGCCCCCTCCACACCTCCTTCCCAGGGTTCATCGTCCCCGCCGTGGGCAACTGGACCGAGACGCTCGACTGGATCGGAGTGAACCCGTCTGCGGATCCCGATGGTGGCCAAGGCTGGGGCGCGTTCATCGCGACCAGCTCGATCAACCCGGACAACCTTACCCGCTCCTACTCCCGCTCGGCATACATCGACAATCTCCCTCCTCGCCCCAACCTGGCCATTCTCCCCAATGCGACTGTCACGAGGCTCATCCTCGCCCAGAACGGCTCCAGCGTGCGGGCGACCCAGGTCGAGTATGCAGCTTACGATGGTGCACCCAAGCTGACGGTCGGCGTGAACAAAGAGGCCATCCTTGCTGGTGGCGCAGTTGGCTCTCCCCACGTACTGATGCACTCCGGTATCGGCCCGCAGAGCATTCTCCAACCCCTTGGGATCAGCACGTACGTCAATCTGCCCGGTGTTGGTCAGAATCTCCAGGACCATCTGTCTGGCGAAGTCGTTTTCTCCACAACTGCTGAGACTGCAGCACAATTGCACGGTTCGGAAGGTGCGAACGGCACATCCGCGTTCATGTCGTTCATCAACTCTGCCATCGCCTACCCGAATATCACTGACCTGCTCGGTGATTACGCAACGACATACCAGAGCGATCTCCTGAATAACCTCACTTGGGCAGCGGCAAACCTCGTCCCATCCACTGACCCGACCATCATCGCCGGATACAAGGCGATTTACCAGTCCCAGGCGAACACCATCCTTCCTTCGCAAGTCGGCCAGGTGGAGCTGCTCTTCGGTCTCACAGGCACATCATTCGGTACCAATACCTTCTCCGTCCAGGCTGCTCTTCAGCACCCATACTCCCGTGGGCAGCTGTACATCAACAGCTCCAACCCGTTCGACCATCCCGTCATCGATCCCGGCTACCTCACCCACCCGGCCGACATCATCCTCATGCGTGAAGGGCTAAAGCTCGCACGCACGATTGGCCAGACCTACCCACTGAACGGCATCGTCACTGGCGAGCTATCCCCAGGCAACTCCACCGTATCCACTGACGCGGAGTGGGATGCCTGGATCCCCGGTGTGGTTGGAACAGAGTACCATCCCTCTTGCTCCTGCAGTATGCTCCCCCTCTCGGAGGGCGGTGTCGTCGACCCCCAGTTGAGGGTATACGGAACATCCAATGTCCGAGTCGTCGATTCTTCCGTCTTCCCCGTGGAGTTCGCCGCGCATCTCATGGCTCCAACATACGGTCTTGCAGAACAAGCAGCGACGATGATCCGCCAGTTCTGGAACGAAGGCTACGTCCCAACGAACGGGACGACGACTGCGAGCGCAGGGTTCCCGAGCCAGACAGGCTCAGGCTCATCCAACTCGAGTGGGACCGGTGGTGCTAAGAGTGCAGCGCTCCCCACGGTCGAAGGCAAGAGCGCAGGCCTCCTGGCGGGCGTTGTAGCCCTGGCAGTGTTACTGGCTTTGTAATGCCCGCAACTGCTTCCTTTTTTGTTCCTGTGTTTCTATTCTTGTTCTTATTTGGAAAAACTGAATGGCGGATACCGTCGGGACGATTTTGGACGGACCATTTCATTTCATTCCACTTCTGTTCTCGGTTCTTATTTCATCTGCATGACAGCCACAACGCTCGAAGCGCTCACCGCTCCCTTACAACTGCTACTAACCAAACTAACCAAAAGGACTCGATTTTTTCTTCTTTCGCACCTCGTTCCTCGTCTGTCATCATCTGTTTTTGTTGTCATCGTGCTCCGCACTCGGTCGTTCTTTTACTCACTCGATCTTTGGACTCGTGTACGTACGAGAAAAACTTAAATGTTCAGACGACTCGTGTTGGTGTACGATACAATGCAAGACAGTCGGGAAGTCAAACTGTCAATCGTGCCAAGTGTGCCAATCTGAGATTTTGAGATTTTCAGTCGTCAGACCAGGGATGAGGGTAATTTTTACAATGCCAAGTAGGGGATTCTGCAATGTTCATTGTTGAGCTGGCACTTGAAGATGTGCAATCTGATGCATCGCCAAGGTAGCATGCCGCGGGGTTGAACACTGAGCCACCGCCCACGCTTTTGTCGCAGTGCTAACGACGCTATTTTCAGCAGAATAAATAGCGTCCCGCCTCCCATCCCGCCTTCCACAACGTAACCCCGCTAGGCAGCGCCCTCTAATCCACAGGGAGAGTTGTCGGCGGAAAGGAGGGGTCCCTTACCAAGGCCAATAGAGAAACGCGTCATATCAGCGAACGCTTCCGTGGTCTGGTTCTGAATACAAGGCGCATATCTGAGCGGAGGTTATATGTGGGCATATGGTGTTGGTGGAAGTATGTTCGGAACATATGAAGCATTATTGTTGTTAGAGAATATAATCAGCGGAAGAGGGTGGAAAGGGGGAGAAAGGGGGGGATGAATGAATGGTGATGGTAACTGCCGAACTATTCTTAGTCGTTGTTCCTTGCTGACCTTTTTAGCACAGCCTTTCCGCCCTCGTTTTGCACTCCCGGGAGTATCGGGCCTTTCCGCTTGGTGCGCCCTCTCCGCCCACCACAATGGTGCTCTTATACGCCCAAGTGTACCATACACCCACCTCATTGCACCCATCACCCCGTCACTCGTTCTTCTTCTCCTCCTTCTCCCTCTCCCTCCCCTCCCTCCTCCCACCATCATCTACCATAGCATATACCCACTAAACATGCGCCGCTCATGCAGGCTGGCCGCGTTTCTTGGCCTTGCTGCCCTTGCCGCTGCAGATCTGAGGCATCAACCACTCTCAACACATCATAAACGTGTAGCAAGCAGTGGGATCATATACGACGGTCAGATCGCTAGTGTGTACTTTTCTCTTTTTCCTGTCAATGAATACTCACGTTCCCGCAGGCTCATACGATTACGTCATCGTTGGCGGCGGTCTTGCTGGCCTCGTCCTTGCATCTCGCCTCTCAGAGGACGCAAATGCCACTGTGCTCGTACTTGAATCTGGCGACACAGGAGACGCAGTCCGGTCCTCTATCGACACACCAGGTGATGCCTACTACTCCTCCCTTCTCGGCACCTCCTATGACTGGCAATTCGAAACCGTCCCCCAAGAGATGCTGGACAACCATGCTGTCTCCTGGCCTCGTGGTCGTCTGCTCGGCGGATCAACAGCCGTCAACGGGATGTACCTCGTTCGTCCTTCCCAGCTCGAATTCGATACCTGGGCACAGCTTCAAGGCGGTGCCGCCGGCGCGAATGACTGGTCGTGGTCTGGAATGTTCCCTATGATGAAGAAGAGCGAGAATTTCACCGCTCCCAGTGCGGCTATCTCCGATGCGGGAGCAATACAGTACGATATCAACTCGCATGGTACTGCTGGCCCCGTGCACTACTCCTTCCCGGGGTACATCGTCCCGGCCGTAGGCAACTGGACCGAGACGCTCGACTGGATCGGAATTGTGCCGAACCCAGACCCGGATGGTGGCCAGGGCTGGGGTGCGTTCATCGCGACAAGCTCGATTAACCCAGATAACCTCACTCGGTCTTACTCTCGATCGACGTACATCGACCCCCTCCCGCCTCGCCCGAATCTCGCCATCCTTCCCAATGCCACCGTCACCAGGCTCATCCTTGCCCAAAGTGGACAGGTGGTCAACGCGACTGCCGTCGAATTCCAGGCTTATGATGGTGCACCTGTCCAGACCGTCGGCGTAAATAGGGAGGCCCTCCTTTGTGGAGGCGCGATTGGCAGCCCGACCGTGCTCATGCGCTCTGGTATCGGCCCCACGAACATCCTCCAGCCTCTGGGTATCTCGACTTGTACGTACATCCCAACAGTGCATATATGCGTGCTAACACAACACAGATGTCAACCTCCCCGGTGTTGGCCAGCATCTCCAGGACCATCTTTCTGGTGAAGTCGTCTTCTCTACCACTGCAGAGACGGCTGCATCAATCCACTCTTCCGGATCTGACCCTTCATCTGCCTTCCTTTCCTTTATCAACTCGGCTATCGCTTACCCCAATATCACCGACCTACTGGGCGACTACGCCCCCACCTTCCAGAGCGACATCCTGAACAACCTTACCTCGTCAGCATCTAGCCTTGTCCCGTCCACCGACCCGACCGTCATCGCTGGCTACAAAGCGACGTACAATGCTCTCGCGAACACGATCCTGCCCTCTCAAGTTGGGCAGATCGAGTTGCTCTTCTCGCTCACAGGCACGTCCTTCGGCGCTAACTCGATCGCCATCCAAGCCGCCGGTCAGCACCCCTTCTCCCGCGGTCAGCTATACATCAACAGCACGTCGGCATTCGACAAGCCCATTATCGACCCTGGCTACCTTACCCACCCCGCAGATATCATCGTCCTCCGTGAAGGGCTCAAGCTTGCTCGTACCCTCGGCCAGACGTTCCCCTTGAACGCCGTCATCACCGGAGAGCTCTCTCCGGGCAGCACAGTAAGCACAGACGACGAATGGGACAACTGGCTCGTCGGCGTCGTCGGTACCGAGTACCACCCAGCCTCATCATGCTCCATGCTCCCGCTCGACCAGGGAGGTGTCGTCGACCCCTCACTGCACGTCTACGGCACAGGCAACGTCCGTGTTGTGGACGCCTCTGTCTTCCCTATCGAGTTCTCAGCGCATCTTATGGTTCCGACGTACGGGTTGGCAGAACAGGCCGCGCAGATGATCCGACAGCTCTGGAACGAGGGTGTCACACCTAGCCAAGCCACCGCTACTGCCACTGGCTCCCTAGGGCCTAGCTCGAGCGGGACCACCGGTGCAACCCCCACAGCAGGAGCGAAGAGCGCTGTTCTAGGGTTGAGCCCTGCTTCTTTCCTTGCCGTAGGTGTGGCAGCTGCATTGGGAGCGTTAGTGCTGTAGGTTTTGGAGGCTGGACTCCCGGCATAGAGCCGCTCGGGTTTGTTGCATCCTTTTTTTTTCTCTATCTCGGCGTGCTTGCGATCGCGAGTACTGAACTGTTCCCTGAACTATTGGGCAAACGTGTTACCACACCCCACACCCTACATCCAATCGTACCACCGTATCGTCTATCCTAGTCTGCCTTATACAAGGACTCTGTTTTTTACTTACTGTCTGATGTGGAACAAACCCTGGTCGTTTTCATTTTATACTATTTCTCCAACGTGTGAATGTTGTAGGGGATATTGATACCCTTAAGATGGTTCTGAGATGATATTCATCGTGAATTCCCCCCTATCAGATGTTTGTACTACGTTACAAGCAGGACGCAAGCATTTCCGGCCAGAGTGTCTCGCACGGATGATCATAAGTGACATTGCAGGCGTCTTTGGATCTCCCTCACATTCCTACTGCTTCTTATAAGGATGCACCTTCCTCCAGTGCTGGGCAATCTCCTTCCTCGTAGCGATCCACACATCTGGCTTGCCCATCAGATACTGCATAAACTCCCTCAGCCCCTTAGTCCTCCCCGCCCGACCCGAGATCCGCCCATGCAAGCCAATACTCATCATGACCGGTCTTCCGCACTTGCCTTCCTCGTACATGAGGTCAAAGCTGTCCCGGGCATAGGTGAAGAAATCGGTGGATGTGACAAACCCGGGCGTCATGTGGTACTTGGCGTCGTTCATGTCGATCGTGTAGGGGAGGATGAGCAGGCCTTGTTCGGTCGCAGGGGAGGGTGGGACGCCGAAGCCTGCAGGATCGATGTAGTACGGCAGCTCGTCGTTGCTACCCGCGTTAAGCAGTCTCCTGCAGGAGGAGAGGAAAAAGGGACGCACTAGTCATCCGAGTCGTAGAGCTCTGACAAAAGCCCACGCTCCTCGTACACTTTCCAGCAGAGTCGGCGTGTGGCCTCGCTGTGACGACCAGTGTACCACCCTACGGGGGGGGACTTGCTAGGCGAGTTCTGCTGGATGACATCGATGAGGGTGTTGATCTGTTTCTCTTCCTCCGCTTCGGACATGCCGTTGTAGTCTATCCATCTGTGTGCTTCTTAGCTGCGGTGACTTGAGCACGGGGGAGGGATATACCGATGAGCGTGACTAGCGACCTCGCACCCGATGTTCTCCATGGCCGCTACCACTTGCGGGTTGAGCTCCACAGCCCGCCCCACAGCCCAGGACGTGAACCGCATGCCATGGTCTTCGAACGCCCTGAGGACGCGCCAGAAGCCGGCACGCGAGCCGTACTCAAAGTTGCTCTCTACACCGCGATTGCGGGCTGGCTTAGCTTGCAGGCGCGGGTGCACGCCGGACTAGATGTAAAATAAGGGTTAGATTGGGGATAAGACAGGACCGGGGGGGCACGTACCTCTGTCAGATAGGTCTCGCAGAACTCGTCCCCGTTCGTGACCGAGTACTCTCCACCCTCCTCGTAGTTCACCACGAAGGAGACAGCGATCTTCGCCCCGTTGGGCCACTTTGGGTCCGGTGGGTTCGGTCCATAGCCAACGAGGTCGCGTTCGGGGTAGGGCATCAGGATGGTGGGGGACTCCGCAGTAGAAGGAATGAGGGTTGGAAGGGGTAGATAACCCCCACCCGTAGCCCCTATCGAAGCAGCTCATCTCCCGGCCTTCCCTCCAACGCTCGCTCCGTTTCGTCCATTTATCCGCTCAAACACGGTTCAGTAGCGACAGAGCGGGTTAGAGAGCCGCCTTGGTTCGCGGCCTTCGCCGTTTGATAGCAAGGAAGGACATCGGATTTGGTGAGGGATTAGGGTCTGTTTGTGCTGTCTCACTAGATCCTCGGGGTCGTTGAGGAAGCCGGATAGATGAAATCCGGGATGGAGACATCATGATGGAGTCTACGGTGTTCGAGGTGTGATTTATATGGTGATTCTGACTGCCAGAATAAGGAGAAGGGACGCTGTTGGACAGAGGGAATGTCGAACGTGCTTGCCTGCCTCGTGTCAGTGCCTCCAGCTGACAACCTCCAGAACACCCGCAATGATACTTACTAGAGCTCATCGTCCACCTGCCGTTCCGTCATTTCCATGGAATATTGATGATTGTTCGGATTCCCAGCAGCTTGATGTTGAAGAAGAGTGTCGTCCTCATCATCCGCGGGGTTGAAGAGCCCGTCGGACATAATGCATGCTTGGCCAAACCCTGTCTCTTCTTACTAAGTCCAGTGAATGTGTAATTTCATATTCCTCTGCTTATGGAATCTCATACCTCACATAATGCCAAGCACTCAAAGGGAGTCATTGCACAGACAACTTTATGTCGATAAACGGTAGGAACGCATCCTGCAGTCTAAAACGCCGACTGTCTCTCTTAGCAACAGACGATACCTGGCTCGGGTGAGAGATTACCAGCCCGGGATAGAAAATTCCCCGCTCTTTGAATATATTTCCTACTATTCTCCACGACTTTCTCAACCACACCTCCATCGCCGGTGTAGCATGCTGTTCACCACCCGAATTGTCCGCCAGCTCTCCGAACTTCATCCCATTGGCTCAGGGTCTCACACCCTCGGAATCCACCTGCAATCATCGGTCGCCCCTTTGCATTCCATTACCCGCCCTCGTCTTCACCGTCTCCAGCAACATAGGATGGAGTACATAAGAGCCTCACTTGCCTCGCTGTCTGCTACCCGGTCATCTTCTACCGTTTCAGACTACGGCAGCACCTCGACCTCCACGAGCATGACGACCGCCTCTCCAAAACTGACCATTGCCTCCACCGTCAAGCTCTCGTCGGGGTACCTCATGCCCCGCCTGGGCTTAGGAGTATACATGAACGACGACGTGGGACCGGCGTGCCAGGCAGCATTCACAGCGGGGTATAGGCATGTCGACTCGGCACTGTTTTATAGGAACGAGGAGGGTGTGGGGGAGGCAGTGAGGGAAAGCCTTATCCCCAGGGACCAGCTGTTTATCAGTATGTCTGTTTCATCACGGTGCGAGCGGGACTGATGGAATACAGCGAGCAAGGTGTATAGTGGAAGGCACGGGTATGACGAGGCGAACGAGGCGCTGGAAGAGTCCCTTACTAACTTTGGGTTCAACTACCTCGATTTGTACCTTATCCACGATCCGGTGCGGACATATGCCCCTTTCGGTGTAAAAAACGCTGAACTGGATATTTGAACAGCTTTCTGGGAAGGAGAAGCGTTTAGAGACTTGGCGTGCGCTGGTGGAGAAGCAAAAGGAGGGCAAGTTCCGTACCATCGGCGTGTCCAATTAGTACGTCTTTCTCCTACCTTCCATCCAACGCTAACGGTGTTCAGCGGGGTGAAGCACCTCGAGGAAATCAAAGCTGCTGGACTGCCTACTCCTGCCGTCAACCAGCTCGAACTCCACCCTTGGTGTCAACAACGCCCAATCACGGAGTATTGTGCTGCTCAGGGGATTGTCGTCCAGGCGTACACCCCCTTGACTCGGGGGAAGTACTTCGATGACCCCGTCCTGACAAAGATCTGTAATACCGTACGTGTCCCTATCGTTGTGTTATGGTTGAGACATCCTGGGCTAATAGCCAATGCAGCATAACAAGAGCCCTGCACAAGTGCTCATCCGCTGGTCGCTGCAACACGATTTTGTCCCTCTTCCGAAATCTGTTGACCCGGAACGCGTCCGCGCCAACTCAGAAGTGTACGACTTCAACCTGAGCGAGGAGGAGATGAACGCACTGGACGGGTGTGATAAAGGTGATGCAGGCGCTGTTACGTGGAATCCGGTCAATGCGCCTTGAGGGGTTGTGTAGGGTGTACGATTGCGATTTCGGCGGATGCTTGATTTCTTGTTCTGGATGCATTGAATGTAGCCTATCAGCGTGATTTCATATGGATGAATGAATGGTGTCGGCTCCCTTGATGCTCTGATGTGATTTCCTACAATGTTCGCCAGTACATGGGAGTCACGTGTTATGCCATCCCACGGACGCGTCGTACATGAAACACAGATCGAGTCTATTTTCGGCAGTATCCTACTCATGCATCGTCTTCCTCCATGCTCAAGTGACTCATGATGCGTCTATCGGTGAATGCATCTCCGACCTTCTTCTTTCACCCGGACAGTATATAGGCGGCTTCCTCCCCGCCCAAGCCTACCCCTGCCTCACTTCCCCGCCTACATATGTCCAGTCTACTCACCATCAGCTCGAGCATCAAGCTCTCCTCTGGCTACCTCATACCCCGCCTCGGATTAGGGGTGTATAAGAATGACGACCCTACGCTTGCGTGCGAGGCCGCTCTCGCAGCTGGTTACAGGCATGTAGACTCCGCGCTGGGATATAAGAACGAGAAGGCTGTTGGGGAGGCGGTGAGGAGGAGCGGGATCCCTCGGGAGGAAGTGTTCGTTAGTATGTCGTTTTTGCTCCTTTGAGAAAGGGAGGGCTAATGGGGTCGTAGCGAGCAAGGTGCATAGCTTACGACATGAGTATGAGGAGGCTAAGGCCGCGGTCGAGGAGTCTCTCTCTAACTTCGGCCTTCCGTATCTCGACCATCTCATTCACGATCCTGTACGTTGGTGCCTTCTCGTGCAGCGCTCTGGCTGACAGGCAACGGAAGAAATCAGGCAAGGAGAAACGCCTGGAGACGTGGCACGCTCTGGTGGAAAAGCAAAAGGAGGGCAAGCTGCGCAGTATCGGAGTGTCGAATTTGTTGGTTCACTCCTTTTTAGTTGTCCCCGCGCTAACTCTGCTCAGCGGTGTGAACCACCTAGAGGAGATCAAGGATGCTGGCCTGCCGACTCCGGCTGTGAACCAGCTTGAGCTCCATCCTTGGTGTCAGCAGCGGGATATTACGGAATACTGCGCTGCGAATGGGATTGTTGTTGAGGCGTATACACCTATTACACGAGGGAAATACTTTGATAATCCAACTGCGACGAGGATTTCCCAAGCTGTAAGCACCTCCGATCCCTTATTTCCCGGTGCACTCTCTTTCCAAGTCACTTTTCCATCTTGAAGTCTTGAATCGTGAGCGGCATGACTGACGCACATCGTAGCACAACAAGACCCCCGCACAAGTGTTCCTCCGATGGTCCCTTCAGCGAGGGTTCGTCCCCCTCCCAAAATCTTCCCAGCCAGATCGCGTCCGGGCCAAGGCGCAGTTGTACGACTTTGACCTGACCGAGGAGGAGATGAATACGCTGGATGATTGTGATATGGGTGAGGCGGGTGCGGTTACGTGGAACCCGGTTAATGTGCCTTAGAAACGAGTATGGTTGCGTACGTAGACTATGTACACATTTCATGTAAACTCGCGCTTTGCCGAACGGAATGTCAATGACGTAAAATCACGTGAATTTATCACGTGGTCCTATTCTGGCACCTTCGTGGACTTTCACGCGCTCGTGCAAGACAATTCCCGAGTTGCATTTAAAGCTTGCTTTGTTGGTGTTCGCGCCACTTTGCCCCCCC